AGTGGCTCTCATCTTGGACAGCAACAGCTTTGCAAGCTTATGGTCACTGGGTCCTCATAACTATCCTGTGAAATATTAATATCCCCATTTATGGGGCTAAGCCACTTGTATGAGAGACTCCGGTCTGGCCTCCAAATCCATTCACTGCTGTGTTATCCTGCCTGGGGGTAGGACACTCAGTGTCTGCTTCCTGTGTGGGGAGAGAGGGAATGAGGTTATGTATGTTCTCCAGACTTATGTATGGAAGAATGTCATAGCTGCTGCTGCTGCTTTTTTTTTTAAAGTAAGCTCTAGGGACACCTGGGTGGCTCAGTTAAGCATCTGCCTTCAGCTCAGGTCATGATCCCAGGGTCCTGGGATGGAGTCCCACATCGGGCTCCCTGCTCGGCGGGGAGCCTGCTTCTCCCTCTGTCTGCCACGTCTCCTACTTGTGCTCTCTGACAAACAAACAAAAAAAATCTTTTATTTTATTTATTTTTTTTAAGTTTTTTTTGTTTTTTTTTTTTTTTTTTGTGAGAGAGAGAGAAAGTAGGCAGAGAGGGAAGCAGGGAGAGAGGAGGAAGCAGGCTCCCCGCTGAGCAGAGAGCCTGATACAGGGCTTGATTCCAGGACCCTGAGATCAAGACCTGGGCTGAAGGCAGAGGCTTAACCCACTGAGCCACTCAGGCGCCCCACAAAAAAAATCTTTTAAAAAAATAAAGTGAGCTCTATGTCCAATGTGGGATTTGACCTCATGACCCCGAGGTCTAGAGTTACATGCTCTACCAACTGGGTCAGCCTGGTGCCCCAAGGTCATAATTTAACCCCTATACCCCATCATCTGCCAGCTGTTGGGATGACAGAAGATCTACAGAAAATGGCTCGAGCCCCAAAATGCTCCCTCTCTTAAGCTCTTGGGGGTACATCCTCAGTCACATCGCGGCCTGCTGGTAGACTGATGACAGTCTCTTCAGATGTCTGACTCTGTTCAGATCCCACTAGAATGTACTATGGCCAGGGCCATGTGAAGTGTTTTGCTTGGCTCAGCAATTTGTTTTCACACTTCGCTATGGGAAAGTCAAGTCAGGGAGTTTAGTCACTGAAGAGCGTTTTGGACAGGTGAGAAACTTCAAACTGGTTGCCACTGGCTGGGGACACTGGAACTCTTAAAAAATGTCACCTGGGTGTCTTCCTTCAACTGTTTTCCTTTGTTTGAAGGCTTCTGCCAGCAGCAGACCAATAGCACACTGAATCTGCCTCAAGGGAAAATGGTGTGCAAGTCCTAACCTTGCCTTTCTATGGCTTTAATGTCTCTGGAAATCCTTTTCCTATTTGTTTCCTGAGGTAGTTGGGCGCTAGCGGGGATTTATTAAAGGAAGACATAAAATACCAGCCAGGGTTCAACTGAAACATAAGTGTTTGAGGATTTTGTTCACTACCTTTGGCTACTTCTGACCAGTTATTTGTTTTAACTTTTTTCTCTACCTCATATTTTAGTGTGAGATGTCATTTAGGTTCTCTGGAAACCTAAAGACTATTGTTCTTATAAAAAACAAAGCTTACACGAGACAGTGTTTTAGAAAGAGCTCCCTCTTTTTAGACTCTCAGTTTGGGTTGCTGTGGGTTTTCTTTATAAGGCCGTGACATATATAGCCTTCCCTCAAGGTATGTTGGTTTTATTGACCAGAATGTCTGTGTCAGCAAACCCAAAGCTGGGGCAGTTCATACGAGTGGGAACAGAATGTTCTGCTTTCTCTGCACGGATCACAGTTTCTGGTCTAGTGGGCAATTAATTAATTATGCCATTCTTCTAGGTACTGGAATTACAAAGGGTATAAGGCGTGGTCCTGTCCTCACAGAGCTTAAGAGCTCACACGGCAGGAGTGAGCAAAGTGGGCTGGCATGATTGAGGCAAGCAGAAGCAGCAACAGGACAGTCAGGGGCTGACATCTGCTTTGGCATTGGGGAGCAGTGGGGAGAGGGGGGAATGAGGACCAGAGAGGGCAAGCCCTGTCTGGGGGATGGTGGGGCTGGCACACCTGTATTCCAGCCAAATGGCACACTTGGGAGTTCAGGCCTGACCTGATGCTACCATCTTTCTGTTTATTCCATCGGGCTGGACATTCACATGGAGAGTGAAACACAGCTTCTAAAATGCTGACAACTAATTAAAACTACCAAAGAACAACGCAGATCATCATCCACTGACCCGTAAAACACATCTGTGGGCTGAACCCCCTGGGCTGCCAAGATCCGGTGGGGAAACTGAGGTAATGAGGTGGTAATTGCTTGCATGGCTATGTATCCCCACAAATGGTCAGCTTCTCCAAACCACAGGGATGGCCCAGCTGTCTCTGGGAGATCCTGCAGTCGGCCCACGGAAAGGACCTTAAGAGTGTGGTCGGGGCAGAGAGCTTGGGAATGACTTTGATGTTTCTCTTTACATGGGGAAGATGTCAACACTTTTCTTGCAAACGAAAGAGCTTAGTGATTTGAGATGTTAAAAAGCAATATTCGACTGAGTAAATTTTAAGATCAAATTGATTTTATTCAGTGATTTATGAATCAGACTGTATCCCATCTAGTCAGTGGAAAGGAGTTCCAAGGAGCTGTACAAGATGGGAGACTTGTGTAAGCAGAAGGGGGCAGAGACAGGGAAAGAGTAAATGACCTCATCTTTCTTTGGGGGACAGAAGAGGTCTATCAATCACTAGAGCTGACCAGGGAAATTCCAGACGGATGGACTAAGCATGTTTCTGGGGCAGGCTGAAACTGCAATTGGGTCAGGTACTACGATTTGGTTTGGTGATATGGGCTTAGCACAAGTGACTCCATTTTGGATCTGTTGTTTCTTTTTTAGCAGAGATGAACTTTTTAGACCAAGACAGAATGCCCTCTGGGGCAGTAGCTGAGCACACAAGTCTGGGAGTTTGAGTCAATCAGACTGAATCCTAAACTCTGCCATTTACTAGCTCGGGGACTCGGCAAATTGCTTCTGTGAGCCGACTCAGTTTTCTCATTTATGCAACAAGAACAAGAATTCCCACTCGTGAAGGGAGTTGTGAGGACTCAATGAGTTACCATATATGGAGAGAGTGCTGGGAGCCAGGCCTGGCACCTAGCTATAGCTTTTATGGAAAGCTTATTATTAATAGCAATATTTATAATGTGAATGGGGGGAGAGACAGTCAGTCATCCTGATTTTCCAAATGCAATGGTGCGTAAGTGTGATGGATGATTAGCTCCCTGGGCCAAGAGCAGGGCTTGGGATCCCCAGTGAAGAGAACAAGAAAGTACCAGCACCTCTGCTCCCCCTCTCCCCTACCCCCGTCCCTGCCCCACCGGCTTTCAGAAGGCTTCTGCTTTTACAGGGTAGGGAGGGCTCAAGTTCTGCAGACTTGACCTGGGGGCCTCAGGCAGTCCTCCTGCAAGGAGGAAGGGAGACAGCCTGCTTCACCAGGTGAGGCTTGCGCCACGAGGGAAGAAGAAAACCGTGCCCCCTGCTTTATCTGCACAGACTCTCCAGAGCCTCAGTAGCTCTCGGGCTAATGCATCTGACACCCTTAGCATCACGGTTAAGCACTCAGCTTCAGGAGCTAGACCGTGGACGTTTGACCATTAGCTCTGCCCTGCAACCTGGGCACCAGCTCTCTGTGCCTAACTCGTGGGGTTGTGGGGAGGATTACCTGAGTTAGCACACAGATCACGCCTGGGACGGTGTCCAGCGTGAAGCGAACAAAATTCAATAAATGCCGGCTTTTGTTAACATTTTAGTATCACTTACTGGTACTATTAAGTTGGACTGTATGGAATTGCTACCTTTCCACCAGTTGTGACCTATAGAAATGACAACTTTGTACAGATGGGTGGTTTCAGTTGGGGGTGGAGGGCGGATTTTGTTTCTTCCCACCCCCCCCAGGGGACGTTTGGCAATCTGGAGACATTCTGATGGTTACCACTGTAAGGTGCTCGTTCTCCTGGTACCTGGTGGGTGGAGGCCAGGGTTGCCGCTAACATCCTCCTGCCCAGCAAAGGACCACCCAGCCCTGAATGCAATAGCACCAAAGTGGTGTATGGGGCCACTTCAGAGTATTCAATTACGGACAGACTCCTTTTCTTAAAACTTCCCTTCCCCAAACGAACGTGCCTCTCACTGCCTAGAGAATAAAGGCTCACTTCCAATAAGCTCTGGCCTCCAATTTGTCTCCAAACTTGTCTCCTCCTGCTGTAGACATAACAGGTAGCCCATAATAGCAGGTCCCCCAGTGTTCCAGGCCTGGAATAACCTCTCTGTTCTCCCCACTAGGCATACCCTAACATCTGCTCTGGGAAGCTTTCCTCAAGTGCCTTTCTTTCCCAGGCTGGCTGACCATGGCACTCCCCAGTGGCTCTTAGGTAATGTGACTCCTGGGTCCCATTCCTGGAGATGATGATTCAGTGGGGTGGGGTGGGGCTCGGCTCTACATTAAGCAGCAGCCCCAGGGGGCTTGCGCTCAGCCTGGCGTGGAAACCACCACGCGCTGGTACACATCTTGATTTCTAAGCTGTTTTTTGTTCTGTTACGGCTTATGTATACTAACTGTTTGCATGCACTTCCAGCTTATTTTATTAGCTGTGCTGTAAAGATGCTGGAGGGCAGAGACCTCTTCCTGGAGGCACTGCCTACTCAGAGGGATCCAACCCAACACCTTGCCCTCTAGGAATTCTAATGAGTGAATTAAACTTGGATCCAGAACTTTACAGACTTTGCAATAACCCAGGAGTGACCCGAGGTGCTTGTGAAAAATGCGGACCCCCAGGCTCCAACCCTCAGGGGTTCTGCCTCAGTGGCTTTGGGCTGGGGCCCTGGAACCTGGATTTTTCACCAGCTGGGTGTGAAGCAGGTGTCCCTCAGCCTGCTGCTCTGATCCTCCACGTCCAGCTTCCGGGGTCTCAGGCATGTCTCGTGAAGGTAAATGTTCTTGTAATTGATTGCTGGGGTGCTCCCAGCCCAGAATCTCAGGACACCAGGGAACACTTACACGCATGCTGGCTTGTCTTCCTGCACCAAAAACCTGCAGGTTCCATGGAAGCAGAACTGACTGTGGGAATCTGGGCAGTCATTAAAGTGGGACACCACAGCTGCAGCCACAGGCGGGTCTGCGGGAGAGAGAGAGAAGACATTTGGCTCAGACCCATGGCTTAGCAAGACACATATGCAGTCCCTCACTGACTGAGGAGCAGGGGTGCCCTCCTAGTTGGGATTTCTGGTCCCTCCCTGCCTGTCGTCCTCAGCACGCCCTCACTTTCTAATGGCCAGTTCAGGACCAGAGACACCTGCATCACATGCTTCCCAGCAGGGCTGTGTTATGTATTTACCTTGGTTGGAAAAAAAACCATCTCTCCAAAAGATTCAGTGTAATTCAGAGATACTGGGGCGATGTTAGCTACCAGAACATTTAAAGCCTATTCTCCACGCGAACTCATTTTACTTTTGCAAAGTGATAGTGATCATTCTTTTAAGAGAGCCTTCACAAAACTCTGTTTTCAAGCCAAGAAACCAGAAGGAGTTACAGAGGAGTACTAAATGACCATTAAATTGACGCTGAGGAAGAACAGTTAATGACACAGATAGATGCTCATGATACGTTATTGTCAGTGAAACTGGTACATTTCCCATTTGTTCTGTATCATATAATTCTACTGAAATAAACAAAAATTCAGATACAAAGAAGTCTGGGAAAGCTATACCTAAAAATGGTAGCAAGAGGCTCTCTGGGGCAGGGGATGAGATGTGATCCTGCCATGAAGAGGACTTAAAGCCCAGAAGTCCATCTGGGAGCAGCACACAGTGTGCCGGGAAAGCCGGGAGTGGGCAGGAAGGGCAGCAGGGAAAGAGATGGGTCCTGCTCACAGCCCTGGCTCCCACCATTCACAAGAGCCTGGGGGTGTCACCAAACCTCTCTGGGTTTTTATTCCTTGGCTTTCACACAGGAATAAAAACAGCCACCAGGAGCACCGTATGGAACAACACATGAACAGACCTGACCAGGCCACAGGGCATCACTCTGAATTTATTGTAATGGACTCCAACAGCCTTGTTTCGTCCAAATAACACTTGAGACCCTGTAGGCAGTTATTTCAAGATGGCGTGACAGATGTAGTTCCCATGCTTTTTCAAAAGGTTCTCTGATGCTTGTGTTTTGGGGAGTGGGTCTTTCCCACTTACTTATTTTTTTGGAAAAAATGTTCTTAGAGCTCTTGCTCTTTGAGAAATCCCTGTCCAGTGGCAGCCTATGGGACATGCGGTCCAACAGCCTCAGCGGGGAACAGTGGGCCTGCGAGTCCCAGGCCTGGGTGGTTGAGGAATGGGCTTGTTTGCTTGCTGACCGTGGACACTTGGACAGGACGGGTCTGCTGCAGTTCACCTAACTGGCTTCTCTGTGTTCATTACCTTGTTGAGGAGCAAATACAGAGAGACGATGGGCTGGAGACTAGTGGATCTAATTTGATTTAGACCTGAAAAAGGCTTTTGATAAGCTCCACAAAAGGCCACTTAGACAACTTCCTCCAAGTGGCTAGTAAGAGTCCCTGGTCAGGGTTCAGAGTTGGGCTCCTCAAATATCTGTGGGCCAGCAACTTTACACCGCTGGAGCTGATCAGAAAGCCAAGTTCACAGGCCCTGCCCTTGGACCTACTGAATTAGGAACATTGGGATGGCACCCAAGAATCTGTGTGATAAGATTTCCAGGTGATTTTTCTTTTTTAATTTTAGAAAGAAGTCAGGTTTATTGAGATAGAATTGATGTGGCATACCTGGGCTGTCCAGGTGATTCTGATGTGCACTGATGTGAAGACCCAGGCTTGTATTACACACAAGACACATTGTTTAGAGAAAAAAGACCTCTTAGAAAAAAGCCAAACAACAGGGGTCTTCAAAGGGGCCCTTTTTGGAGCTGGTCCTCTGCCAGGTCTTCAAAACCCAAGTGACCCCAAGGCCTGCAATCTGCTGACATTCTTTGTGGTCAAGTGTCAGGTCACCAGATACACCCTGGAAGAAAACTCGGGGTCTGTTCTTTGGGAACACTACTCTCCAAGACGGATCGGTAAGGCGTAGACTCAATGCCATGTTCTCAGTTAGCCTGTATTTATGGCTATTTTGCCTCGTCTCACAAGTGACTCAAAGAGTCTTTATAAAAATTGATCTCATCAAAGGGGAACCCTCCTACACTGTTGGTAGGAATGCAAGCTGGTGCAACCACTCTGGAAAACAGCATGGAGGTTCCTCCAAAATGTTGAAAATAGAACTACCCTATGACCCAGCAATTGCACTACTGGGTATTTACCCTAAAGATACAAACGTAGTGATCCGAAGGGGCATGTGCACCCCAATGTTTATAGCAGCAATGTCTACAATAGCCAAACTATGGAAAGAACCTAGATGTCCATTAACAGATGAATGGATAAAGAAGATGTGGTATATATACACAATGGAATACTATGCAGCCATCAAAAGAAATGAAAATCTTGCCATTCGCAACGATGTGGATGGAACTAGAGGGTAACATGCTTAGTGAAATAAGTCAATCGGAGAAAGACAACTATCATATGATCTCCCTGATATGAGGGAGAGAAGAAGCAACATGGGGGGTTAAGGGGGTAGGAGAAGAGTAAATGAAACAAGATGGGATGGGGAGGGAGACAAACCATAAGTGACTCTTAATCTCACAAAACAAACTGAGGGTTGCTGGGGGGAGGGGGGTTGTGGGGGTGGGGTTATGGACATTGGGGAGGGTATGTGCTATGGTGAGTGCTGTGAAGAGTGTAAACCTGGCGATTCACAGACCTGTATCCCTGGGGATAAAAATATATGTTTATAAAAAATAAAATAAAATAAAATAAATTAAAATAAAAAAAACCACACACACATAAGTGGTTTTGCCTACATTATCCAGGAAAGGACAGTTGAATGACCTGGATATAGCACTATATGCTTTCCCAACATTTCAAAGGTGAATTTCAGCATTAGGAAAAAAAAAATTGGTCTCATCAAAAGGGGATACAAATGGGAAAGTCAAGTGAGAGAGACAGAGACAGAGAAGGAGAATGGAGTGGGGAGAGAGGAAGAGAGGGAGACAGAGACATGCAGTGGGAAAGGGAAGGGGAGAGCAGGGAAAGAAGAATAAGGAGGGGGAAAGAGCAAAGAGGTTGGGTGTCTGGCTCACATATGAAGACACACAAGGGACAGTCAGACTATGTGCTGAAGCCAAGCGGTGAACGGAGCTCTACGCCTCCCAGCGCTGCCAACGCAAGGATGCACGCGGCTTGTTAGATGGAAGTGTGCTCGTTCCGCACACATGGGGCAGTCTCAGCGTGGCTCAGGTCTATGGCCACAGAGCAACTCTTCTTCTGGGTCTGCTTCTGAAGAGCACCTCACGTGTTACAGTGGACAATATCCTTCTCGATTTCCTGGTGACGAAGCCGAGGCATCCGCCAGTGTAAACCCTCTGTGTGTCACCCAGCTCGCTAGGAAGCCAGCAAGCCCTGCCATGGTCACGGTGACAGCAGCTCACGCACGTCCGAGACCAGGATGAGCACGGGTACCTGATGTAGAACTCGGGCTCCATAATCCCCATTGCCTGATGCAGCCCGAGGCACCGAGGTGCCAAGGGAGCTCGATACCAGTCGACTATCATAAGCACAAAAACCCTGTTTATTTTTAAAACCTTTTTCCTGACCACAAAAGTGATCCTTCGCTGTAGAAACCTTTTGTAAATATCAGTGTAAGATTAAACAAAAGCACCGTGGAGTATAAAAAGTAAAAGTACCCCACAGAGAGACTTCTCTACATACTGCACACGTGCACTCATGTGAACATACTACTTCCTCTGTTACTTGCATTCCCGCCCCCCGCCCCTTGATACAATCACAAACATCTTAAAAGCAAGCATTTCATTTAAGAATCGGTGCAGGGTGACACCCTGACCCCTGACCCCAGGAAGCTCCAGGTGTGCAGTGTGCAGGTCAGGTCCTGTTTCCAGCGGCACACTTGGCAGCTTTGGGGGACGTGATCTGCTCTTGAGAAATGGAGGGGAAGGAGGGAACTAGACCATGGTCCCAGGAGGGAGCCACCCCGTGGCCCTGTGCTCACCCTGTGCCACCTCAGGGCAAGCCGGCCACAGACTGAGAGGAGGCCATGGGCACGCTGGCCCCTGGAGCTGCTGTGCTGGCCTCATAGGCTTGGGTGCCCAGAAGTCCCGTGCCAAGTGGGAAGCAGGCCACAGGTGTGGGGCAGTGACTGTTCTGGTTCTAGGGCTTTTAAAGATGTGTGCCTCAGACACCACCAGAATCAGCACGGAAAACTCCAGCACTTCAGCATGGTCAGCCCAGACAGATAAGAAGCTTTTGCAAGGTTCTGGAAGAAGGGGAGTCTGGGAAAGGTCAGGAGGGGGAGAGGAGGGATTCCTACCTCCTATATGTCTGCTATGTCCCTGTGCTGTTCGAGTATCATCTCTGATGCGGGCAGGCCAGGCAGTCACGCCACGTGGAGGATTTGCTCAGTAACTTAAATCAAAATGAGCTTTACAGGACAACCCTGGAATTCCCAGCACTGTCCCAGAGGACAAGTCTCTCCTTTTCCCTTCCTCCTTATCTCTCTCTCTTCCTACTCTTTGTCTACCTTCCTCTACTCTCTCGTCCTCTCCCCCTCACAATTTGTCTGTCTTTTCTTGAAAACTCAAGGAAATATCAAGCAGAGAAAGGAAAGGCCTAGCTACTTAAAATGGGAAAAATCCTCTCATGTAGGAAAAGGCGGCAGTGAAGGTCAACAGGTAACTCGAAGGAGGGCCCCGCAGAAGTCCAGGCAGAGGGGACAGACAGCTGGCTACCCTCCCCAGGGCTCTGGACCCTGAATTTGTCTCCTCCAGGCCCCGACCCAAGTCTGATTAGTCTTCAGGGCTGATTGGAAAACCAAATGCTCCCATTTTGGGAACAGACCTCATACCGAGCCCATCCATAGCTGGAGTTTCAAAGCCGCTCAGTTTCTGTTGCTCTGAAATTTACAAGAGGCCTCTCCGACACTGTTAAGCAAACGGACATCTTGCAGACACCACGGTCTCCAGGGAAGCTGTGAAAGCTTTGCCCAGAGACCACAGACCCAC